TTTTGCCATGTTTTTAAAGCCTCAAGCCAACTCTTTAGTAAATTCAGCTATGTTTATTTTATGATAATGCGCTTCGAATTGACTAGCAACATATCTGAAAACTAATAGTAATTATTAATTATTATTAAAAATTATGTACAAATACTTGATCTCTCAAGTACATTAATGGTAATATTTTAATGAATTAATTTTGAATCCTTATATTAGTTCTTAATACAGTACATAGATAATAATTTTTACATTATATAAAAAACAGAAATAATAATAAAGAATGTTCTTAATACAAAAAACTATCACTTGATTCAAAGTTGAATGGTCATGCGCTTAAGTATTTTTTTTATGATCCTTTAATTTTATCACAATTTTGTAAACTAAAATGTGTTTTGTCTTATAATTCGGTCCTCAAATTCTACGGTAATTAGCAGTTATTGTAGAATTTTATTACGATAAAAAGACCATCTAGATAAGATATGTTTTTTTTAATCTATTATCTTTAAGATTTTATTAATAATACAGTAATATACTTACTTTACTAATCATTATCTAGTTAAATAAAAAAATAGAGCTGATCTCGTCAAGCTTCTTAATGATATTTTTTCTTTCTTTCAAAGGTATATCATTCAAATTACTTTTTTGATGAAGCGTGATTAACCGTTCCATTTGCTGATTAATAGATTTGTTGACTTTTTCCAATAATTCATTTTGGTCAATATCAGCATTATCGAGTTGTTCTTCATATTCTAGGGGTAAATAAGTGATCTGTTCTTGTAATTCAATATTATACTTACGTGAAATGGCAAATATATGTTTACAAGGAGTAGGATTTTTCAAGTATACTTCACAATTGCAAGCAAAGTCATCATCACAACGTTCAATAATATAATCGCATTCACTTTGATTTGATTTAATAATAAACATGGATTCATGTAGACGAAAAATTGAATCATCATCAATATTAGTTGAGTTCATTTCAAACTTTCTCCAAGTTCTATGATGTGATCCCATTCGTCCAATATTTAACTCATATCTAATAGTTTCTTCATGATAATCCCTTAAAACATTTACTGCTAACTCATTTACAAGAAAATCAACACATCGATTAATACGTACTAAGAGATAGACATGCTTAATTTTTCTATGATATGCTTCGATATAATTGTTAGTATTTATACCACGAACATGGTTATGACGGTAACATTTTATCCACATTTCTATAATTAAATTTTAGTAATAAATTTACAATATATATATTATAGAATGCACCTATTAATATTTTATTGTACAGTATATCAGTACTAGTCTTTGAGATATTTATGAGCGTAAAATATCAGATCTTATCAGTTTCCCACCAACCACTTTTCTGACAATATCGAATCCTGAAAGTTATGTTAGGGTTAGTGTTAGTTCTGGTCAATTTTTGTCAGGATTTTGTTTGTCAGGAAGTGGCTGTCAGGAAAATGATAGAGACTTGTAAAATATCATAGATGCATTTTAGTAAATTCAACTAAAATATAAAAAAAATAGAATTTACCTTTTTTTTTTTTATATTCAGCAAAATACTGTACTACCAATGTATTCTGCCACCTTTGTTCAAATTGGCTAATAGCGACATCTACCTTATTTTCATTGTCAATACTAAGTAATTGGTCCAAATCATTGAACAAGATATTATGACTCTCTGCTTGAATTTTTTTAGAAATCCACCAGCACCAAGCACGTTTTAAATGCCACCAGCATAAAAAGATCTTTGAATGAGGAAATACATTGTGAATAGCATTTATCTCTGCATTGTCATTATCTAACATTACAGCTGTTGGTTCTGCCCATCCATCATTCTTCAACATACGAAGCCATATTTCAATTGTTTGACTGTCGCAAGATTCTGAAATCAACCAAGCCAAAGGTACTCCATGTCCACTATGCGGATGACGAATCAAGATTGTAAAGAGAAAATATTTGCTTGAGTTTGTATTATGAGTAGAGTCGATATGGACAAGCTAAAACAAAAAAAATTTACTATTTTAGTAATTCTAAAACTAAACTAAGACCACACAAGTTAACTTTTATTTTTGCATGACTTGCCAATAAAAATCAAGAACCATCTAAAAATTTAACTAGTTTAATTTAGCTAAAACTAGTGATGCAGTAGAATCGTTCTAATGATATTATATCTTAAATCATAACTATACTATAACTCATTATAGCAATTATTAGAATGTTTCTACTGCATTACTAACTGAAGCCAATACTATCTGCAATAATTTTAGCTAATATTCAATATGATTTAGCTAAGAACTATGAAAATTCAAAGTTATTAGCTTGACAAAGGGGTCTGTAATATTTTACTATCACTTCATAGACAGCTTAGTTTAAAACAATTAAATTTATATACAAGATTAGTTTGTTTTTATAAATTGCATTAACCTTGATTCTAATTCTAAATCTAATCTTAATGAAAATGACCAGAATTACTTTATCTGCAAAATAAGCTTGTCTGTAAATTAATTATCGGTGAACTAAGTTGTCTGTAAAGTCTACGAAATGAATGATACTGGTAAGAAAAACTATTATTATAGGAGCTTATCGAAATATAAATAGATATTAGGTATCATTAAATCTTATCAAATCTAATATCTATTCATTTGTAGTTTAGAAAAAATATCTAATTTGTAATATTAATGTTATGCAAAAATTTAAGATTAATTTGTATATTCTAAATAAAAAAAAAATTAAAATTGTTTTAATACCTCATGATATTTTTGATACATTTTATATTGCCAGGGTGTGTGAAACCCAAGCAGAAACTTCTGGTTTTCACTATGCATTTGAAAACATGAAAGTATCGGATCGTTTAAATTATTCATATTCTCTCTATTATTTCGTAAAATATTGGCCCAATGCAGTACGCTTATTGCATCATTATTATTATGACGATACTTTGAATGAATTTCCTTGTATATAACATTGTAAATATCTTCGTATGTGAGCAACTCATCTCTATTTGGAACAACATCTTTCGAGGTAAAGTATCTATAATTTGTTAAATAAGTTAAAAAATTTTAAAAGTCAGCTGGGTAGTACTAATAATTGAAGTCTTTACAAATTTTAAAAGGTTCAGTTAGTTTAAAATTAGTGTCTATAGGTTTAACAAATTAAAACCTTAAGAATTAAATTTTTATCATGCCAAACTTAATTAAAGTATATTCTAATCAGTTTAGTAGCAATATTTATAGAAATGTTACTCTTTTTATAGACAAATACTTCAGACAATTAACTTACAAATAAGATTATTTTACAAATGATTAATTTACAAAGTAATTGTTATTAGAGTTGGTTTTGGAATTAGAGTTTAGGTTAGTGCAGTTTATAAAAAATCTCGCTAGTGGAAATGAGCTGTTAGGGGAATAAACTCTCTAGAAAATAAACTTATCTGTGAATTAATCATCTTTAAAATAACCTTGACTATTAATTGTTTGTTGATTTATTTAACATGCTATTCAATGTGCTATTCAACTTATCACATGCTTTACAGATACGAATTTATGTCTGCGAAGTCATGTGATAAGTTGAATGACATATAAGTTGAATAATGAATTGAATGGCATGTCGAATAGCATTTAAATAGTGCTATTTGACACATCGAATTTTTTATTTTTTACTAGTGTATACAATTGTAAATAACACATAAGCTGAATATTAGCGTAATAATGACATACCTTTCTGTTATTTCCTCTGGTGCTTTCATTAATTGTCGAATTGCTGAAAGTGATAGACCTTGTCGAGCAAACTTTTTAATCTCTGTAATAGTTTCTTCTGACTTTCTTAAATGTTGAACATCTGCACGACTTCCAGGTGTATGCCCATTGTGGTTATACTGATAATGAACTATTACAATATCATGAGGAAAAACAGATGGCTTATAACGAATTCGTATTTCACATCGACAACCAACTTTTTTTGATTCATTCTGAACTTGACGCTTTTTTTGTGAGTTTCCTTCTTGTACACGATCATTGCGTACTTGCTTTGTACCACTACGTGAGCAGATATAATGTTCAGTCCAAACTCCTCCATATTCATTTTTATATGATCCATGAGGTTTTATAAAATTTATTTGTTTTGTTGCTTCTTCTTCCTTTATCCACTTATGATATGTTTGAAGAGGTAAGGTGAATTTACGATACTCTTTACTTTCTTCAAGTATATATAGCGATTGTATACTAGAATAAGTTTGTGCATGATTTATTATAGTATTTGCGATTTCTTGTTGTATTTCTTCATCATTATTAACATTATCAACTTCTACAGCAAAATTAGTATTCACATTAGAATCAAAGTTATTATCACTAACAACTTCCATAATAAAAATAATGGATCACTTTAGAGAACTTTTTTTTAAAAGTAAAATTGATTATTTTAGATTCTGAGAACGATTTTATTAAGCTATAAGAAATTCTATATCTATATATATATACAAATCGATAATAGTGATACATGAGTATTATTTTATGATATAATATTTTTATATAGCTTATTCTTATTTATCAATTTTTAGTACTATACAGGGTAAAAATAGAGTTTGAAACCGGATTTCATTTTTGAATTCGAATTTATTTAATTAGTGGTATTTGTTGACCTTCATGCATTCAATCATACCAGATTCATATCACGCTTTCAAACAAAGGATTGCGCCAATATTTTCTTCAAATCTATATTCGTTTTATTAATACTTCTTTAATTCATTCCACTTATCCAGCTGATTATGTTTAAAATGCGTTTTTATTGTAGGAAAACCTGTATTCATTGAAGAGGCTTGATTGCAATGTTTGCATATTACTTGTCGTCACTTTAACCCAGAAGGGATCGGTTTTAAATCATTTTGAGGGACATGTACTGTATACTGAGATAATGTTGAAATCGACGTGAAGATAAGTTCATTGAGGATAAAAAAAAAAATTTACATATTTATAGTAATTGAAAATGTTCCTACAAAGCGATACATATATATTTTTTTTAAAAAAGCATAACTTTAATTAAAAAATAATATGAAACCTCATTTACATCATTTACGTCATGAAAATCAACTTTTAATTAAAAAAATTATCATGAAACATTGTTAAGAAGTCGATTTCGAACCCACTATGAGCAGTACTGAGTTTAAAAGTTCCTAATTGAAATCATGGGATTACAAAAATATGTGTTTAACATGTTGGGTTTCAAACAGGCCAAGCTGAGTTTGGACATGCAGGATAATATCTCTAATCTATAGTGCTATCGTATACAAAAGCTTTACCTCTGCATCGTATTTGCATATTATGCTAGTGACGCCATCTACATGACCCGTATTTTTTAAGACTGATTCAATTTTGCAAACAGATTAGCGACACAAAACAGTAGCCTGCATACTGCAGATTGGCTATAAATATGAAGGTTTTGCAAAATGGTATGCATGGAGTGGGTGGGCCAGGTGCGAATATTTCACTTTTAAAGGCCATTGTTTGGCCACTTGCTGCTGTTTGCCCTTATTTCTGGCCCCTATTCATCTTGGCACTCGTATCACCATGCCTCGAATAGTTATTTGATTGATTCTACTTCTTTGCTTCATATTTTCACCATGCTTGTTTGGAGCAATATAACCAGATTTTGCCTGGTTAGCTTCAGGATCTCTGCGTGATTGTCAGCACGCCAGTACATCATTGCATTGATTGCCTTTTTGATCTGTTGACCTCCCGTCAACTCAAATGAAAGAAATTAAGAAATTTTTTTTATCAATTGTAAGTATGATTATTGATCCAGAAATTTGGAGCACTTTCAACCTGAATTTTTGCTTGAAAGTGCCCTTGATGTTGAAAGATATCTTTAGGGAACTGACACTTGTTACATTAATATAACCCCCTCCAGAGACAACCATTTGACAATTACAATTCTTAAGTAATCATAATATAAACTTTATATAATTGGTTATGTTAGAGCTTGCAATTGTCAAACGATTGATTATTTTAGAACTTGTAATTGTGTCAAATGACTGGCTCTGAGGGCGTTATATTCATGTAATAAGTATCAGTTCCCTTAATTAAAAGAGAAAATTCAAGTTTATATTGATTTTAATTTATATTATTAATTAAGCATTGGATTTATCGATGTTTTCGAATTAGTGCAATCGATAAATTTGTGAATCCTATGAATCCTGCATGTTACTATTAACAATAGTATTATGCAGGATTCATAGAATTCGTAAAATTTATTGAAATTATTATTATTAATATATGCTGATCTATTACATTTATATTATACAGAATTTCGATGTCGAAAGATATATATCTTTAATAAAAAGGGAAAATTCAAGTTTATGTTGAGTTTATCACTATTTTTGAATTAGTGCAATTAATGAATTTCGTGTCCACTTAGAATTAACCCATATCAAATTAGTAATATAAGCGCACATATATTGATGCATTAATACAGTAATAAAAGCTTATATATATATGTGTTAATTACATAATTTGTAAATGCACATATATTAATATATTAATTAATGTATATTGGTGCATTATCAGTAATTAAAGCTCATATATAGGTGCGTTAATTAAATAATTAGCAAATGCATACAAATTGATGTGTTAAATGAATTAGTAATTCGAATGCGCATATATTGGCATAGTAAATATAGTAATAAAAGCCTATACGTATGAGTTTGTTAGTTAAATAATTAGTTAAAATAATTCAAATAATTACTTGTTTTTATATATTTTATTATAGCTTTTTAGTATTTCGTGATAGTATTAATTTAGCTAGTATGTTTCTAATTGAAATTTTCGAAAATCAAGAATTACAGGTTTTAGCTTTGTAGCCCTCAAATTAGTGCATTATTAAATACTACATTGATATTTTTGTATATTACATAATTAACTAATTAGAAAATACATAAAAATTGAAGAATCTAGACTAAAGCACCAAAAATTAGTACACTCGCAAACAGCCTCCTCATTTTACAAAATGGAACAAGGTAATTTTGTTAGTATTTTAATGTAATCTTTTTCTTTTAACTTATATTTTTTTTAAAGGC